AAAAGTTGTTGACAGATTCAGCGCCTGCGCCCCAGATTGCAATTTGACCGATATGGCTTCAAAATCGCTCATTTGCCACAATAACATCTTGGTACGTCATTGCGTCCAGACATTTCGTAATGCAAGAAAAATAAAAAATTATTGGAAAGTTTTTCTATTTGTTTCGTTAAGCACAAATAATAACTAAAATGTGCTAGACTTTTATAGGTAGCTAATACACATAACGAATATTGGTGGCGCGCTATGTTTCGCGTGATAATGATTCTTTAGGGTACAAGACAACTTTTTCAGAACGGCAGCTTTTTCAGATCTACAAGACAATACAAATAACGCATATTGGTGGCGCGCATTGTTTCGCGTGATAATGATTCTTTAGGGTATAAGACAGCTATTCCAAACGGCAGCTTTTTCAGGTCGACAAGACAATACACATAACTCATATTGGTGGCGCGCTATAATTCTTTAGCGTATAAGACAACTTCTTAAACTGAACCAAGAGATCTGTATTCAAAGACCATTTGAAGAAACATTACAACATCCATTTCAAAAATGCCACTAACATTTAATAAGTGGTTCAAGAAGAGGCAAAAGGGTGAAGGTTGTTCAACAAATCCCCATGGAATATGTTTTAATACTATCGATCCCTACCTTAAAAAAAATATGCTAGGTTGCTATACTGATTTGGTTGATGACAAATGGTATTAACAAGCATAACAAGCAATTATCTTCCGGTTACTTTAATATTCACCGAATGTTTGCTCACTCATTTTTTTACATAACAACGATGCAAATGTATCGTACTCCATTGTATGTGGCAACTTAACATGACACTGTGGAGAACAACTATAGCGTACTGAGTTATTCTCAACCACAACCATATCCCCCCAATATAATTAAATCTTAATTTTTTGCTCTTCGGACATTATGACAAAATGCAAAATAACTTAACGAACAAATATTTTGGAAGACCTGAAGGATCGTGAATGGATTTTTACAAAATCCTGAAACTCCTTAAATAAGAAAAAAATCAGTCCAGGGGTACAATTATTTGATGTATAGCACCTTAAATATGCACGCTATACCCCTATGAATTATTGGTATGTCAGTTTTGAGCAGATAAATTATTGGTGGTCCCAACTTTTATATATAGCGCGGTGAATAACCGCGCTATATATAAAATAGTGCCCTTTTTTTTTTTTTTTTTTTTTTTTTTTTTTTTTTTTTTTTACTTATTATGGTTGTTAGAGTCCAAAAAATAGCACAATTAGATTTCGGACTCAAGAGACCCCATGGTGGGGTGACAAATACTAGATTAAACGAAAGATCGAGTAAAAACGGCAAGATCAAAGATTTTCCTCTCCCCATAAACTAGCTAGTAATTTGGATATAATTAGATCCTGATTCATATTTCAAGTCACTAGGTGCAGAATACAATTTCACCAGCTATTCCTGGATTATAATGGGAACTAACTACTACTAGTATAAAATACATATTCATTACAAAATTTCAATCACATAATTGCAGTCTAAGACAATTTGTACGTGCACTTCTCGTGTCAACAAGCTACATTCGTCCCCTTTTCATGATTGAGTTGAAAGAAAAGAGCAAGGAGAAATGACACTAAAATGCAGGCGGCGAGATCAAGATAGTAATACCAAGAATAAGACAGACTGTATAAAAGATTGTAAAGTTTTGGTCATTCGTTTATCTGCCTCGTCTTTAATCAGAAATTCAGGGCCAGAAATGCTAAACCAATGAGTTTTTTGAAGAAGAAAAAATGAAATTATATCTGAGGGTCGGTATAAGAAAGGAACAAAAATGCCTAAATAAATCAGCAAGAAACTAACAAATCCCTCAATTGATGTTAATTGTTGCTTTGTGTCTTGAAAAGTGTAGACTTTAAATATGCGTTGATGTGCCATGTGTTTACTCTATGATTATTCATTGTTTGAAAATTTGTCAATTATACGAAGTGGTTATCAATTATTATTAAGTATGAATCAATCGATTATATTCTATATAGTGGTTGGACCTGCTTTGCCTGAAAGTCCTATTTCAGACCATGGTCTTAATCATTTTATTTTCTCTTTTGTAGTGTGGAGTAGTAATTAAGCTTTTGAAATTGCAGTTATGGTTTCTTCTTAACTTTCTAATAATGTTTAATGGACCATTCTCATTCATTGCCTCCTAAAGATACGGCCTGAGTGCTTAAAATTAATTAGTACTATCATGATTCTCATAAATATCGAAGGCACGAGGGACTCAATTTGATTAAATTCATTTTTTGTTCAATTAAACACCTACTAGTTACAACTGAGACCTCCCACAACGAATGTGTTCTTTTCTTTTGCCTAATAATTATATCTTATGTAATTTAAGAAATTAAGTTATGCACTTATAATCATAACTAGTTGTTCTAGATCACGAAAACATCATTTTGTTAATTTTGTTGCACGTTTGTTAAGAACAATTGTTAATACTTTTATTCGTTCATTCTTATGCGACACAATTGGATTGGATCTTGAGTAAATATCACTGTAGTTTATAAATACGCATTGAGCTTAAAATAATTACTCTTTCCTACCCATGCGAAAACTATTTACAATATATACATACCTAATTAAAACTACCCCTACTGTTAGACCCTTGACATAGCTGATCGGCATATGGTCCGGCTGTGGCATGATGACCTTGCCATGGCCTATGTGCGGGGCAATCAACATGCAAAATAATGGGGGCATTGTCAATAGCAACAAATGGTTGTAAGGCTAAAGTGTGACAGACTACACTAAAAACACGAGTGGGGTTGTGTGCAAGCAAAGGCCAAGGTCTTGAGGGGGCAAGACAGGCTGGACGGAAGCTTGACAAGGCAGTGTGGGCAAAGACCTAGGCGCTAAGACAAGGCGGTTTAGTGCTAAGGCATTGGCAATACGGTGTTGCCTTGGCTTAGGTGAGCAGACTGGCACCTAAGTATGTTTTGGGCAAACGACTTAGCAAGGGAAATGGTATCATGTCTTAGTGACTTGATGCAATATGAGCTATGGCATTGGCAAGGGCAGACTTGATCAAGTTGGGGCAACTTGACATGAACAAGTGATTGTGGCAGCGGGCGTGTGTGCGGCTAAGTCATAGGCAACAAGCTGTGGCTATGACATTGGGGTGGAACACTGTCAAAAGGGCATGGTTGCGCACAATGCCAGCCTTGGACGCACAATAATTGGCCAAAACACGCACATGCAATGCACAAGGAGCGGTTACCAAGTTTGTTGGGCATATGGCTGTGCAGTTAGGCGGTTATAACTGTCTTGTCCAGGCGTGGCTGATCATGGGGTTAAATGGATGCACGTTTTTAATCATGTTAGATCATGACATGCACGTTTTTGATAATGTTTGATCATGGCCTATCAGTTAGAGGATGTCAACTGAAATAGAAAAACTGAATAGAGCTTACTGCACTATATTTATGTATGCTAGCAGAACCTAAAAACGTCTAAGTGCCTAGGGAGGGAAAACGGGGAGGATGTAGGCATATGGTTGTCTATGTCAAGGCTTGAGCATGGAAAATTATGTGCCATTGCCTTACCAAAATTAGTGGGTAGCACAAAATGCCTTAGGCAGGGGCTTTTATAAGGCAGATTGTGCAAGTGCCGGAAATTCTGTGAGTTGGTGACTGCCAAGCATGGCAAAACTTTGCCAAACTTGAGATTTTTCTTTGTAATTCATTTATTATAAAAGGTTGGGAAAGGGTTCTCATAATTCTGTGTGTGCCTTAAAATTATTCTAAGTGCTAAACCTCAAAAGAGAAAAGAAATCGGGCGAGGGCTGAGTCAAGTAGGGACTTGACTGCCGCACAGTGGGCAGGCTTTCGGCGGACAGAAAATGCTCCCGTGATAACTAGTATCAGAGCGGAGCAGGTTCGTAACGAGTACAAGATGGACATGAACAAGACGACAAGACAAGGGATCAGTGTGCTTGTTCGTGGAAGGGACTGTCCGTGCTTAGAAAAATTCATTAAAGGCAAGCAAGGCAGTGATGCAAAATTTCGAGTTGTTGGTACCAAAATCAGCAGTGGATTCTTTCAAATTAGGCCAGTTGCGTACGGGATTTGCTGTGGGAATGACAGACAGTAAAAGCAAATGAGAAAAAATGTTGCACTTGAGGGCATGTACAACATAATTCTTAAAAGGGTGCTGAACTTGTGATGTCTTTGCAAATGGCGAGCATGTGGTGAGATTGTTCGACGAGGGCGTCAAATTCAACTAGTTGGGGTGGTTTGTTAGACCCTTGAAGAAGCTGACCGACATATGGTGTGATTGTGGCATGATGGCCTTGCCATTAGCGTATGTGCGGGGCAATCAACATGCAAGACAATGGGAGCGTTATCAATAGCAAAAAATGGTTGCAAGGCTAAGGTGTGATGGATTACACTAAAAACACGAGTGGGGTTGTGTGCAAGCAAAGGCCAAGGTCTTGAGGGGGCAAGACAGACTAGACGGAAGCTTGATAAGGTAGTGTGGGCAAAAACCTAGGCGCTAAGACAGTGAACCCATGGTCTCTTCGTAAAATTAGATATTTTATGTACATATTTTCTAAAATTGGTATGATATTAATTATTGACACCCATATTCCAGGGAGGTGACACCCATATTTCAAGAATGTTGAATGATACACTTGGTTTAAGCTTGTGTCACGTCCAAATTTCATTTTAGTAAATCAAATTATTTGAATTCTTGAGACTTGATCTATAAAATGACATTATAATGACGTTAAATATAACAGAAAATCAATTTATATAAAATATAAAACACTTTTTTTCCAAAGATTAAACAACATTTGAGACGTCAATGAAAAGAAAAAAAAAAGGAAAATATGAAAGAGAAAAAAAGAAAAAAGGCAAGAAAGGTTAATATTGTACTTATGACTCTAGTGAAGGGCAATACTGTCATTGGAATATGTATATATAAGACCATCAATCCCCAAGCTGCAACACTTCCTTCTTTTTTCACCTGCTCTACTACCTACTATCTGAATTCTGAAACCATAAAATCTGTTCACATTCTGCTTCTGCTTCTCTCTCTCTCTTGAAATCATTTTTGAACATTTTTGCATACTGTTTGCTGGTCAATATACTCGTCTTGGATCTCTTCCCTCGTAAGTTGTTTCAGCTGCATTTTTCTTATTATGCACATCATTTATGCTTAATGTTCATACCATAAATGTTTCTAACCCCTTTGATTTATCTGGTTTGCTTAAAGTTATGATTTTTGAAATTGAGAAAAACCCCTTGAATCAGTTTGTCATGTTTAGGTTTTCTGGATGTTTTTCTGAATTCTTGTTTTTGTTTTTCTGTGTGTGTGTGCTTGCCTCTTCGAAAGTCTTTCAGAAGCATTTGATTGATGGGGTTTCCCTTGCAAGATTTAATCTTTCAGTTATACTTTTACTGTTGAGATGTCTAGCTGCGCTTCTTTTTAATTTTTTACAGTCATTGTCTAAATTTTAGGATTTTTTTCAAATTTCCAGTTTTTTTTTTTGGAAGTCATACGAACTCAAAGAGAGCTGTATCAGTGACATGCTTTGGCGTATGTATCCATAGTGCTACGGATTCAATCAAATCCAGTATTTTTGATACGGAATGTGTATATATAGAGAAATGTGTGTGTAAAACAAAATTTCAACAAAAAATGGATTTTGAACCAATTATTTAAGAGTGTAGTGAGTTCAGTCATCACTGCTAAGAAATCTAAAGGTTGATTAGGTTTTTGATTTTTTTTTAATTTATAGTTCTTTGAGGTTGATTGGTGTTAAAGACAAGGTTACTGCACATGCCTAGAATTCTGTTTAGTCTTTAGTTTTATTTTGAAATATTTTTTATATGAAATCGAATAAGTGATATGTTTCATGTACTTTTTGTGGGGAAAAAATGAGTTGTTGTCCAGTCATTCACACGGTTGTTTCTCTGAAGGGATTTAGTGATATTCACATTGCAAGCTGTTTAGTTGTTCTGGTTCATGACTAATGCATATGTTGTCTAATATTTCAGGTAAACTAACTTCATATTGACATCCTTTCATAGTTGTGGCAACTTCTGCAGTTTAAAGAAGCTACAACATGCGGTGGCTGAGCCTGTCAATTGATGTGTTTTCTTATGTCATCCCCTTGAACTTATTTTGCAGGGTGATCCTATAAATTATTTCTCCTATTAAACCAGCTTTTTTATCTACCATTCTCTTCATCTTCCTCTTCCCTTTAACCAGTCAGTTTTGTCTCTTTGCTTGTTATATCTGTATGATTAGCTGAAAGACCACTGCAAAGAAAATTTAAATCCTCTTAGTCCTGATTTTGATTCATTGGCACTTTGTCATCTCTGTGACCCAGTTTAGGTCTTTTCAGGGTTCTTTTCCTATACTGCGATTTCCTCAACCTTCTCCTTTCTTGTAATCTCCATTTTCCTACGAAAGATAGTATTTTGTTACTCTTGGGCTACAGTGTTATCTCTCCGCATAGATTTTGAATTTCATTGGAAAGTCGAAAGTAGTTATGGTGTGCCAAGCAGCAGGACAAACAAGATTTCGGGCCTTAAAGCATGAGAGTGGAATCACAGGGAAAGCAACCATTGTAGTTAGAGTTATAGCATGTTTTCAACCATTGCAGAATTGCCAGGTTCGTTCACATTTTTGCCTCACTTATGGGAAATTTAAGTGTTGCTTTTCAGTTGTGGGTTTCAATGATGTAATTGAAAGGCTACCTAACTTACAATCTGTTTTTGCTTACCAGGCTGAATACTTCCGTCAGTTGTTGAAGCCTGTAACGTAGATGCTCTGAGTTCACGCTTTTGTCTTAATCCAGCTTTATAGTATTTTCTTCTTATTTACGTCCTTAAAGAGTAATTTGAAGTGGAATTTATACAACCCATATAACTGGTATGCGTCTTAGTCTTTGGTGCTGCTATCTGTGTTAAACTTCTATTGATTTTGTTGTGTATTTCCATCTAAGTTCTTGCATTATGCATGTTAGGTTTCTCTTCTGTCTAGATGGTTACAACCAGCAAGCTCAATTGTTACCAGCAGGATCCGGCATGGACTTCACCGAATTTGAACCATGCAACTGCATTCTTACGGCATGGACATAACCTTGGTGTTCCATCTCTGTATAGCCCTTGCATATGTGCTGCAAATGCAGTTTCTCCTAGGCCATCATGTTTCGCCCCTGGTTTGCCAAGTTCTAAGGCAGCCAATCAGAATGGAGTCAAATGGCTGCCAAGCTTAGCTCCTCCCAAAAATGAGTATCCGAACGATACTAGCTTTTTACTTCATCGCTTGATAGGATTAGATTCCCCACCAACTGATGCATCTGCAAATTCTCAGAAAAGGTTCCTCATTTGTGATCAGTCTGGGAGTCAAACTAGATTTTACTTTAGTCAAGGTCGCCCTCTTGAAAATGAAGTAACTACACCGAAAGAACATGCTTATGGTTTGTATTATGAGAACCTGACTGCTGTAGTTGAGCGAAGATCTCCTGTGAAACCCATTATTGAAGATAAATTGGAGGAAAGCTACATAAATGGTGAAGAAAGTAGTATGCATGAAGACACAGAAGAAATCAATGCCTTGCTCTACTCTTCTGATGGCACTGAAGTGGACGAAGATGACGATGATTGTGGTGAGGATGATGAAGTAACTAGCACGGCTCGCTCTCCTTGTGCAAACAATGGGGGCTGCGGCTGTGGTGAGCATGACAAACTGCCTGAGGAACTTACAGAAGAAGTTGCCAGTTCTGATGGCCCATGTAAAAGGCAAAGATTGCCAGATGGCGGGCACAAGAAATCATCATCCATAGAATCTAGATGGGCCAATGATGATGATGATGATATTGGGGAATCAAGATGTGTTAAAGACTCTCTTCCCCTCAGGGAGAAGGATGAGGAGGATCATGATTTGAGCACAAGGAAAAGGAAAGCTAAAATTCGCGAGACCTTGAGAATTCTTGAGAGCTTGATTCCTGGGATAAAGAGTAAGGACCCATTGTTGGTTATTGATGAAGCAATTGATTACTTGAAGTCTTTGAGGGGCAAAGCCAAAGCTTTAGGAGTTGGGCTCCCTCAAGAGTACCCTCCATCTTCTTGTTAAAGAAAAGAGTATCAGTATCCAACCCCTACAACGTTAGCATTGTGGATTTTAGGGGGTAACGTTGCTTGAACATTAATCTATTTGTTAAAATAGTTAAATTGTGAAGCATTTGCCATTTTCATCAGTCCTTCAGTGCAACAAGTATTATGAACCACCAGAAGTGAAGAGTCTTAGTGGAATGTCTTTTACTTGCAAGGGGTGAAATAAAAGGGATTATTTTTGAGTTTTTTGTGGAGTAAGAAAGGGTAGCAATTTCAAAGTTCCAACTCATGAGTGTACAGTAAAAGAGGGACCCTTTAAAATTCTTGAGAAAACCCTTGGATTCAATGCATGCGCATTTGGTAATTGAGGCCCACAATCCACCTCAATATGTTTCTTGATTTGAATGACTGTTATGATGTGTTGATGTTTCTGTTGATCCCCACAAAGGATAGTGATGGCAACTACTGTTGAAGGGTAGCGCATGGAAAAAGGGAGGGGCCTGCCCTCTAAAGCTTATCATGAAAAGGCTGATTGAGAAACATGATCAAATCTTGTCTTAAAATTTGGTTTGTTCCCACTTGTAGTTGGAGAGAGTTGTGAGTCTTTTTCTAAGCGTGGTGTCTTTTTATGAGCCTCATGGACCCTTTGTGTTTCATGCTATTATTATTGCTGTGTGTGTTGTCTTTATGCTTTTACCACTTATATAAAACTAATAATAAAATATAGCTTGCTTTATTATTATTATTTGTTTTGTTTTGTGCATTTTGTCTATTTTGATCATTATGTGGTTTTGTCTATTTTAAGGGTTAGCACTACTTAAAGAAAGTTTTAAATGGAAAAAAATATTGGATCGTTTGCTGCTTACAAGTAGAATGAGAGTTTTCCCTCATGGGAGAGGCAATGAGACTGGAACCTATTTGAACTTGAATCATTGCCTGCTAAAAAAGGTTTACTGTTATCAACGAACATGGGGTATTTTTTCCATAAGGAGAAAAATTTAAGTCCTTATAAAACTGGGAGAAAAATTAAAGTTTTATGGGATTAAATTCTATACACTGATGTAGAAAAGTTTTATACCATCAGAATATTTGCAAAAATTTCATTATACTGTATGTGGATGTAAATGAAATCCTAGACGTATTAGCATGACCATGAAAAGTTGCGGCGCTCATATCAACATAATCACAGTATGCAGGACATTCTCTTCTTTGAAAGTATTGCAAGTTATGATTCAGATTTTGAAATCAATGGAAAAGGTGTAGAAAAGTGCAATCGGAAAAAGACCTCCCTTATCATTTTCCTTTCTATGATTCTTTAGAAAGAAATATAGAAATGGTATATGATTTAGAACTTGACACCAATATCTCATCTTTAATCACTTCCATGAAACCTAATACCTACCTAAATGCAACCAAAAAAAAAAAAAAAAAAAGGAGGAAAAAAAAAAAAAAAAAAAAAGGAGGGAAAAAACAAATGAGCTTAGAACAATTGCCTATCTTAAAAGTATTTACAATTTCCAAGCTGAATAGGTAACAAAATGTAAACTATTAGTCCTATGATATGATGACAAGATAACACAGTGGACTCCAATAAGGAAAAAGAAATACATAGTATATACTTAGATATACCAAACACACCCTAGGGCTAGAGTTAGTTCCTATTGATTTGTGCAAGTCTTCTGGGGCCATGACAAAATCTGAACTCCAAATATAATAGATGAATAATTCAAGATCTTATAAACCATATATGTGCTCTTGTATACTTAAAGTGAAACTTCATATATCTCATGATGATTATTAAGGTATTTAAACCTTCGAAAAGTGTAAGTATATGTTCAGGACAAAGGAGAATCGTTAAATGAGCAGTATCATTGGAAATTAACGAGTACAGCCGGAGGCGGATGGAGCATATTAACACCAGGTTCATCTGAACCCAATACTTTCGGTGCCGAGCATATATTTATGTGTAAAAACTCACTAAAATTGTAACAAATAGTATATTTGAACACATAATTTTGAAAATGTAATAGGGTCGATACCAAGAACCTTAAATGTTGAACCTGTAAAGTTCAAATTCTGGATTCGTCTCTGAGTACAACATATATATTAATTGCCTGTCAAAGAACCGCCTTGTTTGTTACCTAGTGAATGTCATGGAGAGAGTCAGTTCCCAAGTTTTTATCCCCTAATGTTTTTCATGTCACATGCATTTTGTACATAGAACAGTGGAGGAGTCAATTCCCTAACTAATTCTATTACTCACCAGGCCTTCACATCCGTCTGAACTTTCAACTACGTACTGGACAGACAAGTCCAACAAGATGTACTCATCTTCTAGTGTTTGGTCTCAAAAGATTAAAAGATAAATCAAGAATGAACAAGTACAAGAGATAGATAGATAGAGAGCTCTTGAAAGGATTGATCCTTCTGTTAGCTTTAGCTTGTAATTTGGCTAGGCACTGCAGTTTAAGACTTGACATAACCTTATAAAGTGATTTGCTCTAATGAAAGTATACATTGTTGAGTGGTCTATTTCTTGATCTTCTCTCCTTTTTCGTGTTACAATGAATACTACCTTAGTTCTGTATTACAATTAGTCAAGTTAGTCACTATGTTCATGTAATTCTTTACTGATAGTCACAGAAAATAACAATAAGCTAACTGCACGTCACTGATGGTACACAAACCAGCTTTACTGCACCTTCAAATGCATAACATACTTAAGATGGTACAATCGTTACTGAGAAACCAGTCACCAGTAAACTAGAGAATCTATAATAAATTGTGCTATTATCTCACATAATTTCTATCTATGATAAAAATGAACGTTTTAACTACTCTTGTGATAGGAGGAGAATGATAATTTTGAATAGAAGGGAACACTGATAACTGGTACTCTACTCTTCTATCTCATAGCCTTTTACTTCTCAAGAAATGGAATTTCTCCACCTTCTAGGTGTCTTTGTAGTCTGTTCAGCATTTGGGACCTGACCGTTAAAGTCATGTGTTTCTATATTCGTCGTTTTTGTGAGCTTGCCTAACTTTTTCCACCCTGCAGTCCATGCTGAGGCTTGTTTTGGTTTTGCAATCTTATCAAACTGTCTCTGTAAGTTATCCATGTCGTTTTGGAGTTCTCGGTACTTAGTCTTCACAGTTTCTAGTTCAAACTTAAGAGTGTTGATGTCCTTCTTGGCTGCTGTCCATCCCTCTTGAAATGATTGTGGCGTTGCTTCAAGCAATGACTTACGGTTAGATACCAGAGGTTGATAATGAGATTCTCCTGGATCTTTGAGAGAGATATTAGCCATTGCATTGCTTATTTTCACCTGCTCAGAGAAGAGAACTTGCACCACCACTCGTAGTGGGAGCCTTTCGTTCTGAGCAGCGTGCATGCAAGCATCGACAGAGAGTTTCTGGCAATCCATCACCCTGCACAGCCTCTTTCTTTCATGTTCTGAGAGCGTAGGATGGGCCTGTCGCACGTGTTGTATATCAATGAGCTTTCTGATAAAAAGAGAAGCATGTTGGGCTGGAATTCTAGAGATGCAGACAACATAATTGCAAAGGTGTGGTATTTGCAGATGATTTACTTCTATCCGATCATTAGATATTTAGCATATATAGCATTTCAGAATTCTGAATCATCGTCACTTTTACTTGAGAAAGGATTGTGTATAATTGTAGTTTTGTTTAACTATTACAAAGATATACAAGCATGCTAATGTTGATCTTTGTAACATTAAATTAGAGCAGAAAAGAGAACTATATTCATGATTAATCAGGAACGATTGGTTCAAGAATGTAAATGATTCACAGAACAATAAACTTGAATGGATTGGATCAAAGTACCTTAAGATAGGAATCAATTGCTCGATAAAGTCCATCATCACATGTTCTTGCTGAATCTGGCAAAGCCTCTGCCAAGACCTGAAATTTTGTCAAAGAAAGATTTCTATCTCTGGATACTTCTGTTAGGTAACTATCTACGAGCCTTGCCACTCTCATCTTGGCATTTAGATTTGTACCCCTTTGAATTCCATCGTGCATATGTTTATCGGAGAATGAATATCTACTAGGACTTGAATTTTCTGTCTGCTCTTGAACTATGAAATGTTCCAAAAGCCTCTGCACAAGATCAATGTCATACATGGTTTCACTTTTATTATAAGATGGTATGAGAAGATCAGCCAATGTAGCCTGCTCAAATTGCATTCCTACGCGTTTCTCCAATTCTGTTATCAAAGCTGGAGCTACTTTCAGCATGTTTGCCATTCTCAATAGTCGAAGAAGGAAGCTACACGAAACACTGTCCTTGTGTTGTGGGATTATGCTAATTAGGCTTTCAACAATCATCCTTTGATCTTTGGCCTGGACACTTGGTACTTCATCTCCACTTCCCGCTACTATCATATGGAGGCCGCCTCTCCAACTACCACTGCTAGTGCCATTAATGCTATTACTGATGTTTCTGCCATCATCCGCCAATCCGGATCCTTCTCTGATCAAACCTGGCAACCACTTAGCTGCATACTGCATAATTGCAGCACCTATCAGTTCATGTCTCATGCCCTTTACCTTGATCGCGGTAATCACTCTCACAAAGTGATCAATCCTGAGAATTGAAACATCTTCAAACCACCAATCAGGGGGTACTACTTGCTGGTTTCTACTTGGGCTGGAATCCTTCATTTGGTTCCAATTTGGGCTGGAACCTTTTGTAGGCTTTCCTGTGTATTGCCATTTTATTCCTTTTGGATTAGCACAAGCTTTCCACGCAATGGACTCGCTGCATCTTCGAACAATTTGGAGGTTTTCTGCCCATGGTGATAACTTTTCACAGCTCTTTAGCACCAATATAGAGTCTCTCCATGAAGATAAAACCACATAGCTGAGGAAAGCTTCAGTCTTGAATATAAGGTTGCCTTCTTCCAAATCCTCAGTCATTTCAAGATACTCAGCTGCACATCTTAGGCCAGAAATATTGGTTGCAGATAGATCAATAGCAATACCATAGCAGAACTTTGCTGCTAGCTCAAACGCCTCAGGTCCACCTGGTAGTTCATCTAAACTTATCTTGTCCAATTCTGCACCCCTTGATTCATATATTGTTCTGTTCATTTTTCCACTTCTAGAAAGCAAAGGATACTTTTATGATATTTAGGAGTTGGGGTATAAACAAAGAGGAACTAGTTAGCCACTTTAACTTTTCCACAAGACAAATAGTACATGAGATAGAAATTTAAGTGTTTTCAGTTTATGGTACTTACCTTGTGTAAATGGAAGCTAACATCTTCAATTTGAACTAAAAGGTCACTTGGGATATCAGTTGCTACATACCTATTTCAAGAATATATATAAATCATTGACCATTTTAATCATTTAGTCTGAAATAAATTCAGGTACTCCAAAATAATGACATTGAGAAAAACACAGGTCATCATATCATTGAACAATTTTAAAGCAAACAAGTCTGTTAGTACATACCAAGACTGGCCTTTTTGCTCAAAACTATCAGTCTTAACTCCATTCTTGCTAGCAGTGAGAACTCCATTGCCATAATCTCTTCCACTAACAGACTCAGTTTCTGATTCCCACATGGTGAGAAAGCTTTAAGGACTAGAAACAAAATTCACAGCAGAGAATTTTATCAAGAAAGTGACAGTAAGTTGAGAGGGGGAAGCAGAGAAGTAGAGTAAGAAAAGAGCAGAACAAGTAGAGAAGCTGGACTGATGAGTAAAAAGGGAA